TTGAACCCCTGGCTCAGGCAATCTTCTTGCCTCGCCTCCCAAAGTGCTGGGATTCCAGGTGTGAGCTACCACACCTCGCTGGGGAAGTTTTTTTGTTTGTTTTTTGAGTCAGTGTCTCACTCTGTCACTCATGCTGGAGTGCAGTGGCACAATCACAGCTCACCACAGCCTTGACTCCTGGGTTCAGGCAATCCTTCCATCTCAGCCTCCTGAGTAGCTGGGACTACAGGCGCACACCACCACACCTGGTTAATTTTTAAAAACTTTTCTGTACAGACAAGAGCTTGCTATGTTGCCCAGGCTGGTCTTGAATTCTTGGGCTCAAGTGATCCTTCTGCCTCAACCTCCCAAAGTGCTGGGATTACAGATGTGAGCTTCTGTACCCAGTCAGGTTTCATCCACTCCCTCTATTGATTCAAGGTAATAAACTTGACAATAGACACATTAACAGGAGAAAAGGCATACAGATTTATTACACGTGTGCAAGGGAGTTCCACAAAACAGACTCAAATAAGGACCAGACAGCTGAAGCATTTGAGCTGCAGAAAGAACTAGGGTCATGGGGTTTTGGAGGCTGGGGTTGGCAACAGGTTGAGGGGAGGAAGTGCATGGCCAACAAAAGCTGTCTTGTTACGCAGGCAGCAGTCCTCAGAACAGATGGCATCCCCTTTGGTCTCCTTTCCTGTGCGTTAATCGCTAATCTTCCCTGTTTTATGGGGTTATAAGGAGGGAGCTTAAGACAATTGCATTCCTTCTGCAGGAAATTCCCTGGTCAGATAAGAGAACTTCAGAGAAAACCCCTCCCTGGGCTCCTCTGGAGGCTTCTGGGAAGGAAGAGGAGAGATGGTGAGAGCCCTAGATTTTCTTTTCATTCAAAGCACTCAGCTTGCCAAAGCTCCATGATTTGGGGCATCATTTTCTGAACCCCAACACCAGTTTCCTGGGACTGCAAGAATTTGTCTCAAGAAATCTCATTTTATTTTGGCAGTGGTGGTGCAATGTATGACTTACTTTTCCCCAAAGATTGTCCCATTATCTCAGCACCTCTTAAATAATTCTTCCTTACCTTCTAGTGTAGCCCTCTATTGTGTAAGATTTTCTATAGAATACAGTCTATTTCTGGCCTTTCATACTTTCCATGGAGGTGTAGATTTATTTTTACACCAATGTTATCCTGTTTTCTTGCTACTTTGTGATATGTTCTAACATTACATATTAGAGCGAAGGGATTAAACACCACTTACGACAAAAATAAAAAACCTCACAAGATTACTGAGAAAGCAGATCGGTGGTTGGCAGGGCTGAGGCAAAAGGGTTGTCTACAGGGGGCACAGGGAAATTCCTGGGGGTGACGGAACTATTCTGCATCTCGATTGCAGGGTTGGTTATGCAACTCTGCATTTGTCAAAACTCTAAAAACCATATCCTAAAATAAGGGAATTTTCCTTATTTTCCCACCTATAATCCTAGCACTTTGGGAGGCCAAGGTGAGAGGATTGCCTGAGCCTACGTTCAAGACCAGCTTGGGCAACTTGGTGCGACCTCGTCTCCACAAGAAATCAAAAAATTAGTTGGGCGTGGTGGCACGCACCTGTAGTTCCAGCTACTTGGAAGGCTGAGGCGGAAGGATCGCCTGAGCCCAGTAGGTCGAGGCTGTGGTGTCCGTGAGTGTGCAGCTACACTCGAGCCTGGGCGACAGAGTGAAAGACTCCAACTCAAAAAAAGGGGGAGCAACCCCCTCAGGTGACCCCCCACCACTGTGGAAGCTTTTCTGTCCTCTTAATAAATCCTGCTTTCTAAAAAAAAAAAAACCAGGGTGGGGAACTGGTACACAAGATACACTATGTAAATCTTTAAAACAAACACCCCCCCCAAAAAAAAGAACAGTTCTTAGAGAGGAAAAACTCTCCAGGATCAAGTGCTCTCGAGAAAATCACCTTCCTTTCCTCACAGAGGAAGTCCCTGAAGGCTGAGCTAGAAGCCAGACCATCCCTGCCAGCTGGTGGGCATGGGTCAGTGGCGGGTGATGCGGCCACCGCCTGCCCTCCTCTGCAGAGCCCAGGAGCATAGGCTGTACCCGGGGGACCAGGGCTGTCCTCCCTGGCCAGGCCCAGACCCGCACGTCTTCCTTCCCCCTTCCAGGTGGCTCCTGCAGTCCTGTGTCCCCTGGTCCTGCCCCCCTTGCATGTCCAGGTTCAGGCCAGGACCGCCTACATCATCTGCAGGACCCAGAGCAAAATGAAAATGAGGGTGCTCTGAGCTCAGGGCCCGTGTGACCGCGCAGGTCCCACACAGATCGCCGGGCCTGGTTCTGGCCCGTCCCCCGGGCAGCTTCAGGGGCTCCTCACAGCCTGCCAGGCTGTCCTGGATCTGCCTTCCCCTCCCCCTTCCAGGCGCGATCCCCTCCCTGGGACCTGCTCCATACCTCCCTGTGCCCAAGTCCAGCCCGTCTCGTAATGCTCTCATCACATGCCACTCTAGGGAAGTCCCTTCCCATCTCAGTGAGGACCAGCTGGGCTGCCCACTGCCTGGAGGGATGCGTGGCCAGCCTTCCTCCCCTAAGCCTCGCCTTCTGCCACGTCCATCACTTTGTTCTCATCGCAGGAGACATTACATTTTTTCTTTTCTGAATCTAACATGGAGGCCTAAGCCTCCGCCCTCTAGGCTGGTGGTTGGCCATCTGAATCATCACTGTGGTGCCTGCACCCTCTTTGGAGAAAGGCCCAATGCTATATCCCCCGGCCTTGGAGAAATGCACTCTCACACCCCAGACAGGCCCCCTCGCCCTCTGTGTTCCAGAACGCACTCACCTCCGTGGAGACCCCTCCGCTCTCCCCAGGTCTCCTGTTCTCTTCATCTCCTGCCTGACCCGCCATGTTTGGAGTGGCCACTACCATGAACATGTGTCACCCACCCCCCGCAGGCAAGACCCACAAGGCCAGGAGCCCACAAGCCTTGGCCACCCTGGCTTCCTCGCCCGAGAACCACGCCCAGCCCTGAAGAAGGCCCTCACCACATCACCGGAATGAAAGGCTCTGGGCCCCAAGCTTGGCACAGACCTGGTGCCCACAAATGGCGACGGAGTATTCACAGTGGGCACCTGCTTCAACCACCCGGGCCCCCACCAAACCCATCCTAGTCAGGAGGGGTCTGGTCACTTGGGGCTCCCCCCCTGCCAGTGCCTTCTGGGGTTGCCGCAGAGCAGGCTCGGGGTGAAACCAGAAGACACCACCCTCCCCGGCCATGCTCAAAGGCAACCAGGCGCCGGGCTCAGTGGCTCAGCCTGTAATCCCGCACCTTTGGGAGGCTGAGGTGAGTGGATTGCCTGAGCCCGCGGGTTCGAGACCCGCCTGGGCAGCA